CGGTGGAACCACTGAGCTAACTCCCTGGCCCCCTAGGCCCCCTAGCCATTTTTTATTTTAAGACAGAATCTCTTTAAGTCACTAAATTGCCCAGGCTGGGCTCCTGACTTGCAACCTTCCTGCCTCAGCCTCCCAGAGTGCTGGGATTACATGCAGGCACCCTCACACTCAAGCCAATATTATTAAACACCTAGTTATTACTGGGCATTTAAGGATACAATTGTCCAACAGGAGACAAATTCACTGTCTCTCTATCCTTCCCTTTTAGTCATGGGAGACCGATGAATAAACAAATAAATAAATGTCAGTATACTAATGAAAAGGGATGCATAAAAAGGACTAGGGGTATCTGAACAGTAGCAGCCAAGGAAGGTTACATTTCTTAAAGGTCCTAAGTGTGAAGACTAAATCATCCACCCCAGGAAGAGGATTCTTCCTGCAGGGAGAACAAAAACCAAGGTCCTGCAGCTGGCCCATACTTAGCACACTCAGGGGACAGAGGAGAATGTGTACTAGGGCAGGAGATGGAGAGGTGGACAGGGCTAGGTCACACAGCATCTTCTAGGCCACAGTGAGCTTGCATTTGTATCTAAGGAGATGGCCTGTCCTTTCCAGGCTTTGGGGCAGGGTGTCCAATACCACCTAGTTGCTATGCCCAGCATGGGCTGCAAGAAGGAAAGAATCAGCCAGGTGTGATGGCACAGGCCTGTAATCCCAGCACTAGGAAGGCTGAGGCAGGAGGATTGCTGTGAGTTCAAGGCCAGCCTGGACTACATAGCGAGATCCTGCCTGGGGGTGGGGGGAAGGAGGGAGAGGAGTAAAGGGTACCAGTGGGGAGGCCAGGAGGTATTTTGGAAGTAAAGCTGACAGTTCTTGATGACACATTTGCTGCAGACTGAAAGCCTAGAATAGGGGACTCACCTCCAGGAAACTTCTGGATCTGATAGGTATTGATTTCTCCCGGTGAAGTCCTCAGTACCAGGGCCTGGCTGGAGTCAGGGCCTGTGACCAGGAAACTCTAGTGGGTAGAGGTAAAGGTCAGTTTGAGGAAGCTGTGTGCAGATGTTCATATTTGCCTGCCTGGCACCTATTTCATTAGGAAAACTCCTTGTGCTCAGTCCCTGAGGGTGGGACTGAAGTTCCCAAGCCTGCAGGGTGAGCCTGTGCCTGAGCCCACCAATGAAATGGCCTTGCCCAGCTTTTGTTTCTGTTGGCAGTGCTTGGTTGGAACCCAGGGCGTTGTACGTGCCAGGCAAGTACACTACCAATGAGCCACATCCCTGCCCCAAACAGCCTCTTTTCACACTAGGGTTTGCTCAGCTGGCTGGATGGCACCTGAGCAGGGGACAGGCATTATGCCCCCACAAGGACTGCATCTCCTGAGGAGGAAGCTGTAGTAGGCCCTGTCACTTACTTCCTGCAAATCCACCCAACATTCCTTGTGGAAGTCCTGTTCAAGGATGGATGTAGTACTGAGCCATAAGAGATGGGTAAATACGGAGGTGAGTTCTCAGCTATGGATATTACCAGGTGAGCTTTTAAAGACCTTGCTTCCTGGACCCCAGCCAGGTATTGTGTATCAATTGGCACAGCCTGGGCTTTCCTGGCCAAAGAAACAGATGCAGCTGGCCATGTCCTTGCTTCCTGCCTGGGCTGTACATGTGACAGCCCCGGGACAGTCCCTGGGTGACCGTGAGGGAAGTCCCAGGGATTGTGGAGCAGCTGGTCTTGATGTCACAGAGCAGCTGAAGTCGAGCTGGCAGCTGCCTTTCTGGCTGTGCTAGAGATCAATGCCTCATTGTTGAAGCTGCCATAGAATGGGCGTTTGTTACTTGCAGCCCTAAACCCCCAGAGTTCTCTGCCACTGAAAGCCAAGAAATGGGATGCAGAGAAATCCATACGATGTTTGACCTGTGGATCAAGACCTTCCTGAAACTACTTTTACTTCTGCATTTTTCTGTCATTTGAATCAACATGTAAACCTTTTGGATTTTCCCAGTGTGCTGTGTTGCTGGCAACCAAAAATGGTTCTGGCTGACCCAGCATGTCAGAGGAGAGGCTGGACGGGTCCCTGGCTGTGAGTACTCACCCCCAGTGGCCACTGCATCATAAAGGCTTCTGCATCCTGGGCATCCAGCTCTGGAACCTGCCATACCCCCCATGTCCTTAGAAGGCGAAGAAGTGGCGCTGGGGTGCTGAGGTCCCCTGGAGGGATCTCATGTGCTCCATTAGTCTGCATTAGGACCAGCCTGGGATGTGCAGGGTCCAGGAGTTAGGGGCGGAGGTGGGTGGTCGGATACAGAAGTGGGGCTGAAGGTGTGGAAGGGGCTGCCCGGGTACAGAGAGTCAGAGGTGAGGCCCAGGGTCCTGGCGGGTAGCACTGGATGGAAGGGGTTCTGGATCAGGGGCAGGAGGGGGAAACACTGTGCCCTAGTAGCCCTCACCTCTGCCCCTCGCTGGGGACTGCAGAGGCCATGTCCTCTGGGTGGGCCATCTTCAAGGTGCTGGAAGCGGGAGAGCCATGGTCGCCTCTGGCAGAGGGGAAGACAAGATTCAAGGCTGCCCTAATCCAGGATAAAATGCAAAACATTCACAACCACTATGGGGAGACGCTGAGCAACAGAATGGGCCCTGGTGGAACCCAGCTGTGCCAGGGTTTAATTCTTTAGATGCTGGTGTTGGGGGAATCTGGGGAGCCTAAGGGAAAGGCCTGTGTGTCTTAGGTTGGGAAAAGACTCACAACTGTTTGCCAAAGGGTAGGGAACCAAGATTTCCACAACTGGGGCATTGATACAATAATGGTCAGCTCAATAATGACCCTTGCTAAAATCCAGAGCCTGGAAAAGTTCTTGGCCCATAGTGCAACATGCCCTCCTCCTCCCTTCCCAGGTCTTGGCAGGGGGGCACCCGGAATCTTTTCTTTCAGCTTTACCTTATAAAAGTTTACAAACATACAGAAAAACTGAAAGAATTTCCTAGGGAACATCTGTATACCACTGGCTGGATTCTGCCATGAACATCTGACCCTCCTTGCTTTTTCAACCTATTTGTTCCTCTACCTATCAGGCCCCAGTTCTTAGCCAGGTACAGAGTCCTATGAGGGATTATCACTGGGGTGAGCACTCTAAATACTTTCCCCACAGCAGTCTTAGCAATAGGAGACCTGGGTCTGGAAAGGGAGAATGAATCCATCGATGCATCCAATTGAGCACAGGCCCAGAAGTAGGTGCCAGTATCCTGGGGCAGGTGATAAACAGGACAGACCTTGTTGCCATTCCTGATTTTTTTTCCTTTTTTGAGGGGGTTGCAATAAGATAAGACACAGCCAACCCCATCAGCCCATGCCTCATTGCCCAGGGTATTTGGAGGAGAGCAGGGGACAGCAGGAAGGAAAGGGTGGAGAGGAGCAGATGCCCACCCATCACCTCTGGGAGTGGGAGGAGGACCTGGGTGGCACTGGGCAGAGCTAAGGGGAGCAGCTGTCCGACACCAGAGGGTGACAGCTGGGGGTAAAGACACCAGATGCTGGGTCCCTAGGGGCCCTACCTGTTCCCAAGGGGAGGCCCGGAGCAACAGGAAATGAAAGTGTTCTCTAGAGAGGAAGCTGAGCAGGCAGGGGAAGAGGCGGGGCTGGGGGCATCTGAAATGAACCTTCCTCCTTTTTTCTGGGGCTCAGGCCTAAGAACTACCTGTGGGGCCCGTCGCTATTGCTCCTAAGAGCCTGGAGATGTTCTGGCATCCTGGGTGGCCCAGGGTCTCACCCCCTCCCTCCAGTTGCTTCAGATGTGGAAAAAGGAACAGAGAGGCCAGACAGCTGATGGTTAGTTGGTTTTTTGTTTTTAATTTATCTCCAATAAGCAACATGTTCTGCCTACCCCAGGTGGGAAGTGGGTCCCAAGGGAAAGGGGCCCATCTTGGGTGTCGGTGGCAGAGCCTCGGGAGCCCTTCAGGCTCAGAATGCTCCCCACACCCACAGAGCGTGTGTTGTATTTGAGGGCTGACACCCCATCTGGGGTAGGTTAGATTCGGGCTACAGGGTCCACAGGCCCCTGGGAGCAGTAGAGAGAGTAGGGGGCCCTCAGCCCCGTCATGACACAGGAGTTTTGGGGTGCCCCTGGGAGCAGTTAGAGGTCAAGGGAGGTTGCTTCTTATTTATGCCTGGGGTGGTTAGAGAAGGGACTGTTAAAGACAGGCTGCTCAGACCCCGGTCCTAGGGGATGTTAGAGACTTGCTGGGACCCAGTGGAGCAGCTGGGGCCTCAGTTTCCAGAGGGCTGGTTAGAGCCTGAAGGGGTGGACTGAGCTCTTCAGACAAGGGCTCCAAGTTAGAGGGCGGGTGCTGCTGGTTGGGGCTCCGCTGTCCCAGAGCAGCTGGGTGTCCTGCCCGGGCCTTGGGCTGTCACTGGGACTTCTCCCCCTCTGTGGTCTTGGCCTCCGCCTTGGCAGGAGGTGGGGACGTCCTGGGGGAAGCTGCAGTGGTGGGGTTGGGAGTGCTGGGCCCCGATTGGGCATCTATGCTGGCGTGCTCCTTCCTGACCAGGTCCTCCAGCTCTTTCTGCAGGGCCAAAGTGTGCAGAAGTCAGAGGTCACCACAGACCCGTGGGGAGGGACTGGGCTGAGGGTGGGCGTGGGTCCCCGAGCTCCTCACCTTCCATCCAAGGAGGTCAGCGAGGGCCAGGCATCCCTGGTCACAGTCACCCAGCCAGGCTACGTCCCTGTGGTGTAGGTGGGAGAGTCAGAGCTCCAGCGCCCCACCCTCCCTCCTCCCTCTCGGCCCCGGGCCTCCCAGCCCTGGGCCTCCCAGCGGCAGCCCAGCTCAGGCCAGCCTCACCTGTAGGCCTTCTTCGAGTCAAAGTCCATGCCTCCTCCCAGGCCCATCATCATTCCGAGGAAGGGGTCCATCTGCAGGGGCGGGGAGAGGAAGAGCGCTGGCCTGGAGCCAGGTGGCCTGGGCCTACATCCCAGCTTTTTTTGGGTACTGGGGATCAAACTCCTGGCCTCGGACTTGTGAGGCAGGCGTCGGAACCACTGAGCTAAATCCCCAGCCCTGCATCCCAGCTGTGTGACTGCGCAGGTCACTGCTGGGCCTCCCTGTGTCTTGGTTTCCTTATCTGTACAATGGGGATAGTCATGGAACCCCCCCCAATAATAGTTAAAACATCAATTGTATAAGTGGGCTCTCCATATCACTGGTTTGTGCCTGTAGATTCAAACTGTGAGCTAAAAGAATTTCTTTCTTTTTTTTGAGACAGGGTTTCACTATGTAGCCCTGCTTGGCCTCCAACTCATGGTTATCCTCCTGTCTCAGCCTCCCGAGTGCTAGGATTATAAGTTGCATCACCATACCCAACCGAGCTAAAAGAATTTTTAAAAAATGGTGTCTGCCAGTGTAAGCCCAGCACTCAGGGGGCGGAGGCAGGAGGACAGCCATGAGGTGGAGGCCAGCTTGAGCTACATAGTGAGATACTGTCTCAAAAAAATAAAAAAATAAAAAACAAGACGAAAGAAAAAAATGGTGCCTATACTTAACATATACACTTTTTTATTTTTCCAGTACTACAGATTCAACCCAGAGTCCTCACACTGAACTACATTCCCAGCCTTTTTTGATTGACTGATTGGTTGATTGATTTTTGGTTTTTGAGACCGGGTCTCACCATGTAGTTTAGGCTGGCCTTGAACTCAGGGTGATCCTCTTGCCTTAGTCTCTAGAGTGTTGGGATTATAGGCTCAGCACCACCATGACCTGTATTATTTATTTATTTATTGAGACAAGGTCTCACTAAGTTGCCCAGGCCAGACTCAAATTTACAATGTGAAGCCAGGCCTAGTGGCGCATGCCTGTAATCTCAGCACTCGGGAAGCTGAGGCAGGAGGACTGCTGCGAGTTGGAGGGCAGTGTGCACTACATAGTGAGACCCTGTCTCAAGAAAAAAACAAAACAAAACAAACTTATAGCCTGGTGTGGTGGCACACACCTGTGATCCCAGCATTCCAGAGGCTGAGGCAGGAGGATTGCAGAGAGTTGGAGGCAGCCTGGGATGCACAGTGAGTTCAAGGCTGAGCTGAATTACATAACGAGCCCCTGTCTCACAAAATTTAGAAACAAACAAACATACCAAACAAAATACCTACAATTCTCCTGTCTCAGCCTCACCCCTCACCCCATTATTTTTTCCATACCAAGGACTGAACCCAGAGCCTTTGCACTGAGCTGTACCACTGGCTTTTTGTTTTCTTTTTTTTTTTTCTTTCTGGTACCTGGGCTGGAACTCAGTACCTTGTGCTTGCAAGGCAGGCGCAGCACCATGAGCTAAAGCCCAGCTCTTCATTTCTTATTTTTGAGACAGAGTCTTGCTAAATTGATTGGTTGCCCAGGCTGGGCTCAAACTTGTGATCCTCTTGCCTCAGTCTCCCAAAGAGATGGGATTATAGGCATGCACCTCTGTGTTTTCTGTTCCTATTCCCTAAACAGTTCAGTACAATAATGATCCTTGTAGAATCGACACTGTATTAGGTATGATAGTGATGTAGAAAAGATTTAAAATATAGGGGCGGATGTATGTAGGTTATATGTAGATACTTCACTTCATGTAAGGGACTTAAGCAGGCTTGGATTTATGCATCTGAAAGATCCTGGAGCCCATTCCCTTCAGGTACCAAGGGACGACTGTCAGATGGAACAGTATGTGGCCCATGGAATGACCGCCCCTGCCCCATTTCCCTCTCCGAGGGCCTTCTTCCCAGCAGGTTCAGAGGGCTGTGCTGCCTGGGAGGGAGGCTACCCAGGGACAGCCAGGAGCAAGAGGGCAGCGGCCACCGGCCACCACACTGTGCCTTTAACCCCCGCCCTGGTTTTGTGGTCCTAGGGAACACGACTCCTAGTTTCAGCAGGTTTGAGTTGGGATCCTGTCACCTGTTCAAAAGGGACCCAAGTGATCCAGAGGCCTGTAGAGTCAGCGTAGCCTAGAACATGACCCTCCCCATTCTCAAATTCAGGGTCTGAAGGCCACCGTTCCCCAGCTGGGAGCTCTCCAGGACTTGTCCCCTCACTTGCAATCCCAACCCCAAGGGAGCCAGGGGGAAGAGGGAGGGGAAGAGGTGGGGCAGTGGCCAAGGCAACTTACATGGCCAGTCTTCTCCTTGTTGATAAGCAGGCGCGGGGTGGACAGCGGTGCCCTGGGGGATGGTGAGTTGGGGGTCGGGATCTGTCCTGGCTCCCTCATCCCCAGCTGCCCCCACAGCCCTCACCCCAACCTACTTGCCAATGAGAGAGGCGAAGGGCTGCACCTGCAGCGAGGTGCCCATGATGATGAGCAGGTCCACCTTCCGGAAGTCCTGTGGGGCAGTGGCCAGTGAGAGCCCTGTGCCCCTGCCCAGCACCCCACAGTGGCCGGAAGCAACCTCTCCCAGGGCAGGTGAGGCGGCAGGTACTTACTGACTGCAAGCAGGAGAAGAACCGTGCCGGGAGGTTCTCGCCAAAAAAGATGATGTCTGAGGCAGAAATGGACAGATGGACCCAGAGCCAGAGGAGAAAGTGACATGGAGACAGAGGGGGCCACCAGAGGGACAGGACCCACTGCCCAGGACGGTCAGGGCACTGGTTGGGGAGCTCAGCTGGGCTGGGGGGGAGCGTGGCCTCTGGGAGGGTGTAGAGGGGAGAGGAGAGCCCAACCCAAATCCACCTGACTGGTCCCTGACCCCAGGGCTCACCAGGCTTCACCACACTCTGACATTTCTCGCACTTGGGGGTCACCTCCGAGAAGAGCTTCTCTGGCGTGGGAAAGCGGGAAAGGGGGTGGTGAGGCTGGAGCTGAGGCTGCAGTCCCCTCCTGCCCTCCCTCCGCTGCCAACACCAACACCTGGCCACTGGGTGCATCTCCTGGGTGTTGCCCTGCTCCCGCTCTCCCTTCCGGTGGTGCTGGGGATTGAACCCAGGGCCTCTGCATGGAGCTACTTTCTATTTTTTAATCTGGAGACAGTCTTGCTAGGCCTTAAACTTGTGATCCTCCTACGTCAGCCTCCTCAGTAGTGGGATTAGATGTGTGCACCACCTGCCTGGCTAAGATCTCCCTTCTTGGAGAACTGTCCTTCCCCCCAGCACCACTATATACAGCTTTTTAAAATCTTATTTAAAACAAAAAAATTTTTGGTACCAGGAATCAAATGCAGGACCTTGTGCTTGCCAGGCAGGTGTGATAGCACTGGGCTAAATCCCCAGCCCTCACTCTTCAATGAAAAAGTGAACACAGGAACAGCTGCCTGCCTGAGCCCCTGCCTGGGAGTGAAGCTCTCTTCCAGTGGGTCTTGAGAGGCAGACCTAGCTCCTCTGAGTCAGAGAGGCCTGGTGACTGCCAGGCATGGGGGCAGCAGGGAAGGGAGGACATGGAGATGATTCCAGGATGGGACAGAACCTGAGGCCCAGCTGCACCCCACCCTCGTCCCGTGACGGTCACCTCCCTTATTGTTAATGGATAAGGCAGCTTGGAAGTGGACAGAACTGAATGCATGCGCCCAACCGCCCTCTCACTCTTTTCAGCCCATATCTATGGAGAACAGTGTCCAAAGCCACCATTTAGGAGACTTCCGCAAGGACAGCAGGCTATTTTGTGGGTAGCGCGGGTGACACTGCTGAGGGACGTAATGGGGTGGTGGCCATTGTATGTCACCCCAGCTGCGTGCAGTTGGGCCATTCATGAATCCTCAGCCCAGGGGCGATCGGCTGGTACTTTGTCAGAAAGGCCACCCTCCCCAGGCCCTACTACAGATGCCACCGCTGTCCTGACATCATGTGGACACCACCAGCTTTGTTCAGATGGCATAAGGAGGGTCAGAGAGGGTTTTGGGGTGAGACGGGGTTTCTTTCACAGCACAGTGCTGTCAGAGGTGGCTCTCAAGGCATGAAGACTGGCTGATTGTCTCTCCAAGACACTTGGTCCTTCCACGAACAGGGACAATGACTCCGCAGACCCTGTCATCTGTACTCCTTGTGCCAGGCCCAGCCCATGTCCTTAACCAGGCCGGTGAAGAACTTCACACCCCCAATAGTGCTTGCGTTGTTCAATGTAGCAGTCAAAGCCACATGTCACTTGTACAATTTAAATGAACAAAAATTTAAGAAAATTAGCCGGGAATGACGGTGCACATGCAATCCCGCCACTTAGGGAGACTGTGGCAGGAAAATCCCAAATTGAACCCACCTGGGCAAGGGAGCTACTTAATGAGACCCTGTCTCAAAAAATAAAGGTCTAGGGATGTAGCTCGGTATGAAGCTCTGGAATTCAATTTTCTGTACTGCAAACCAACCAATCCAGTTCCTCAGTCACGTTAGTCCGTTCCCTCCTTCCATTCTTTCTCCAGTACTGGGGGGATCCAAGGGGCACTGACAGACCTTTGTATTTTTTATTTCGCTAGGTTGCCTGGGCTGGCCTTAAACTTGTGATCCTCCTGCCTCAGCCTTCCAGATAGCTGAGATTCCAGGTATGTGGCACATGCCACATTTCAGGTGGTAACAGCCACAGGTAGCAGTGCAGAGGTGGAAGGCTTCCCTCATCTCCGAGCTCTAGGGGACAGTGCTGTGTTTCTCATTTCCCTCCAGGGGAGTTTCCTGTCAGGCGGGGTCAGGGTTCTAAAAGGAGACACAGAGCTAGGGTCTGGTGACCTCAGGGAACATTTAGGGCCTGTCTGTGTTTGTGGCGGAATTTGGTTTGGTGCTCGCACGCATGGCAACCTGGCTGAGAGATGCTGTATGTGGGCGGGGGGTGGCGGGGCAGGCGATGAATCGCCACCACCTCACATCTCAGGTCCTGACACTACCTATTAAAAAGCCACATTCCCCTGTATGGGGGGGCACAGAACCACGTGTGGTGGGGGACATCTGTAATCCCAGCATTCAAGGAGGCTGAAGCAGCAGGATCACAAGTTGGAGCTCAGCCTAGGCAACTAGAGACTTACTGAGACCCTGTTTCAGAAAAAAAAAAAAAAGTCTGGGGATGTAGCTTAGTGTGAAGGCCCTTGGTTCAATCCCTTGCACACCCTGCCCCCTCCTGAAAAAAACTGCCTGAGAGCTGTTAGCTACCACATGAGCATGAGGCCCAGTCTCCTCGGCGACCCCAGACTCACCTTTCATCCAGCCCAGGGTGTACTCGCGCCGGCAGAGCTGGCTGGTGCAGTGTGATGTGTAGAAGGTGCCGTGGGCCTCCACCAGGTCCTCGGGCTCCAGCCCGGCCACGCGCTCCAGGGTGTCAATGTTCTGGAGAGAGGTGGGGCAGGGGGTCAGCAGTGAACACACGCACCCGGGCCACAGTCAGGGCGGGGAGCTGAGGCCAGGGGAGCAGGTGGGATTGTCAGCCCTGGGGGGAAAGGACAGGGCTGGGGAGGGGGAGCAGTGGCAGGATCACCACCCCAGCCCATAGGGCATTTTTCTGTCAATTTAGGCCACTTCTGTTTTTAAAGAAAACTGTTTTATTGGAGAGCCAGACACCTTACTGCCACTTGCCAGATATCTGATGAAATAAATGTACAAATGTCCAGTGTCTCCATTGTAAATGGAGCCCTCAGATGTGACGGCCTAGTGCAGCTCCCAAACTACACAGCCCAGGTCAGGCATGAATGTAAATTAATGAATCAGGAGAGCTTCGCTTTTCTTTTTTGTTGTTTTTTTGAGCCAGGTTCTCACTCTATAGTTCAGGGTGGCTTTGAACTCACAGAGATCCTCCTCCTCAGCCTCAGAATTGGGATTACAGGCGTGCACCACCACACCCAGCTCCTTTTTTTTTTTTTGTACTTGGTTTTAATTACGATATTTTCCTACTCAGGGTTATTATGACCTGTTTCACAGATCACATGTTAATTTGATTTTTTTTCCCCGATTCTAGGGATTGAACCTTTCAGTAGGGAACTACTTTTATTCATTTATTTTTATTTATTTATTTTTACTGTTTTGAGACAAGGTTTCCCTACGTAGTTCAGGCTGGCCTTGAACTCACTATGTAGTGCAGGCTGGCCTCAAACTTGTGGCAATCCTCCTGCTTCAGCCTCCCAAGTACTGGTATTACAGGTGTGCGCCACCACGCCCACCCAGGAACTACTGTTGTACAACCTCCACTGGCCAGCTCCCCTTCCCAGAGACCTCTACAGTGACCTGTTTCTTGTGTCCTCTTTGGAGGTATTCTATAACCAAGCAAGATAGAAGTACACAAATTCTTACAGTTATGTATCACCTGATGATATTTTGGTCAACTGTGGGCCACATATGTGACAATGGTCTGAAAAGGTTATATAGTCCCAGGTCTTATTCTCTGGAGGCTGAGGCAGGAAGATCACTTGAGTGCAGGAGTTCATAATCAGTCTGGGTAATGTGGTAAGATTCTGTCTCTAAAAGGGAGGTGTAGTTTAGCAGTAAAACACATGCTTACCACGGGTGAGACCCTGGGTCAACCCCAGGACCAAAACAAAAAGATTATATTGCCTGGCGATATCGCAGGCACCCTGTGTAAGTGTACCTTATGATTGAAGACATAATCCCTTAGCAAAGCAGGCATCATGGTGCAGGCCTGCAACCCCTGTGCTCTGAGAAACGGATGCAGTAGGATCACAAGTTCCAGCCTAGGCAAATAGTAAGACCCTGTCTCAAAAGTTAAAAAAACAGCTCAGTATGAAGGTCCTTGGTTCGGTTCCTAGTACCTACCAACCATACACACACACACACACACACACACACACTCACACACACGCCTTGTTCCCCTCAACAATGCCCTCATCCCCTCCCCACCACTGAAGTAGGTTTAGACTGAGGAGAGGAGGCTGGGGCGCTGTCCTCAACTGTGACCTTTGCACTGACATCTGAAAATGAAGGCAAAGTGCTTACAAGAGTTAGACTCAGGCGGCGATGTAGCTCAGTGAGGCTGCACCTGCCCGGCGAGGTCCCAAGTTCGATCCTTGGTACAAAACAAACAAGCCACACACACACAAAAAAAACAACAACAAAAAACCAAACCAAAAAAAAGCATCAGACTCGGGCAGGGGTACAGCTCAAGGGCAGAGCGCATGCTTGTCTGGCACACAGGAGGTCCTGGGTTCCATCTCCAGTGTCACAAAGAAGGAAAAAAAAATGAGACTGGTTTGAAAAAGCAGGAGGCTGCTATGTGAGTGTGGATATGCAAGGGTCTTCAGCAAGAGAGCCTGAGTGAAGAAAAAGCCAAGTGCGAAACCTCACGAATAACGTGAATACTCCAGATTTACATTTTTTTGCAGAGCTAGGGAGGGGACCCAGGGCCTCATGTGTTCGAGGCCAGAACGCTGCCTGCTCTGCCGCCAGCCTGTGTATAACTAGAAAGGACCAGAGGCCGCTTTGCTGTGATCACTGCGCTTGACTGAACCTGACAGCTGCCTGAATGTGTAAAGGGATCCTGTGTAAAAGGGATCCTGAGCTAAACACAACATCACAGGGTGCTTCGAAGTGCTGATTCGTCACCATCCAGAAGCAGCGCAGACTGTGCTCCAGTGACTCAGAAGGCAGCTCAGTGGGAGGAGACAAAGCATTGGAATCCAACCAGTTCATCCAACACGAGAGTGGAAGTTTTTCCACCTTTACTTGTTTTATGCCATGAAATTGTTTAAAATCTCTACGTGGTGTTAAATTCTTATGTTAAATATCGCAGGTGGGAAGTTGGGTGCTGAGGCACCTGGAGTCCTAGAGCTTGGGAGGCTGAGGCAGGAGGACTGCTTGAGGCTTGGTGTTTGAGACCAGCCTGGCAAAGCTTTTACTCAAAATGAGTGAATATAGAACTTTTTGTTTTAGAAAATTTAAACTTCCGGTAAGGAGGAGATGAGTGACCAAACGTACTCATTTTGGCTTTCTGGTGAAAACAGTACCTGGTCTTGTGCTCTCTGGTTAAGGGCCGAGTTTTCTGTTTTTGTTTTGCCTGTTTTGAGACAGGACCTCAGTATGCAGCCCAGGCTGGCCCTGAACTCATGAGCTTACTGCCTCAGTTTCCCAAGTGCTGGGATTACAGGCTGTGCTACCACACTTGGCTTCAAGGGCCAGGATGTTTTGCCTCCGAGAGAGCGGTCAGTAGCCTCCAGGTGCCTGTTTGCGAGGCCTCAGTTTCTCCTCCTGGCTGGTGAGTAAACACCACCCACTGCTGCTGCAGTGGGCATCTGTTCCTGCTGCCTCCCCTGTCCATATGGGCGTCTCGGCATCCCAGGCCCTCACCTGCCGGGCACCTCACATCCACCTTCTCGGGAAGGGAGAGCAGGTCTAGGCTGCACCCGCCTCCCGCCAACACCTGCTGGGCACCTCACATCCACCTTCTCGGGAAGGGAGAGCAGGTCTAGGCTGCACCCCCTCCCGCCACAGCCATCCAGGAATCACCTACTTCACCTCAGCCACTCCGGCCTCCTCCTGCCCTCTGAGCATCACAGCGCCTGCTGCCCACCCCTGCTTCTGTCTGTCCGCACCGGAAGCCAGAGGGAGCTGTGTTCACGAGTCAGGTCGCACCCCGCCCCACGTGGAGCGCTCCAGCTCTCTCCCCACTCACGGGGCCTGGTAGCATCCACCCTCACCCACTCCGTGTCTCCTCCTCTCTTCTCCTGCTCTCCTCATCGCTCACTCAGATCCAGCCTCTTAGGATTCTTTGTCTTTTATTTGTTTGGTTTTGGTTTTTTGAGACAGTGTCTTTCTATGGAGCTCCTGCTGATCTTGAACTCACTATGTAGCCCAAGCTGGCCCCAAACTTGAGGCAATCCTCCTGCTTCAGCCTCTCCAGTGCTGGGATTACAGGCGTGCATCACCACACCTGACTTCCTGGGATTCTTTGAATGTGCCATATAGTGTCACCTCAGGACCTCTGCACTGCCTTTTCCTTTCATCCAGAACACATCTCCCCCCATAGCTCCAGGGGTCCTTCCCTTGCTTCTAAAGTCTTTGCTTAAAAGTCCCCTTTCTCAGTGAGGCAGGCATGGCCACCTGACAGGCACAGCCTCCATTCCTCTCCGTGTAACTCTGCTCCACATACCTGTCACCAGGTGACACACCAGGTCTATGGTTTACTCCATCTTGTCCTGGTTACCTCCCACATGAGTGTCAGCTCTAAGAGGGCAGGGATGCCTGCTCTGTTTGCTGCAGGCAGGGCCTGGCACTGGGTTGGACCCAAGAGTGAACATTTGCCCACACTGAAGCTGACAAACAAGGGAAGACCACAGCATCGCACGTGGAAGGCACTCAGTGCAGCAGAAGCCGCACGCTCACTGCTGAGCCCTGGCCCGTGAGTAAAGCTGGGTGTCTGGGTCAGGTGTGTCCTGGGGGTGGGCGGGGGCCAGAAAGCGGAGACTGTCCACTCCCCACAGCCACCACCAGTCGCCCCTCTGCGGGGACACCTGCTCCATTAGAGAAAGCCGCACTAGGAAGGACCCATCCTCCCCCTGGGGGCTGCTTCTGAGGCTGCAGGTACTCAGGGGGCTGGTAGGGACGCACATCCCCTCCACCCTCCAGCCCTTCCTCCTACTGCGCCAGGTGGGCTGGGGTGGGACTGCTGGCACACGTGCACACCGCTTGGCATGTCCTGTCACCTCAGCTCATCCCCGTGAAACAAGGACGAGGCACCAGCGTTCTCCCGTTGCGGTGTGAGACTGCGGGGGCCCAGGGACTAGTCCGGGAGCTGTCAGTGTGAGCCAGCCTTGCCTGCTACTCAGGTGCACGAAAGCCATGGCCCGTGGCTTGCCCACGGCCAGGTTCATCTGTGCAGTTATGACAGGGTGCCCCTTCCTGCAGACACAGGGTGCCCCTGTTGGAAAACTATCACGCTGTACTGGTTTTGTTGGCTCAAGTCACTTTGCTGTTATCAGAAGAGTAGAAAAGCGGGACTGTCTGGTGCCACCGTGTCCCCTCAGACATGGGATCCTTTTGCAGCGAGATGGCTGGAGGGGAATTGCTGCCACCTCTCCAAAACCTGAGAGGGTAAAGCTGTTCTGGCCCGTTTTATACAGGGGAAACTGAGGCTGGGAGGAAGTGAGTCAGTGCAGCTCACAGCAGGGAGCAGTAGGCAGAGCCCTGGCCCCACGGCTGCCTGGGGAGCCCCAAGCTCATAGGCACAAAGCTCTGCCGGATCCTGTGCCCTGCAGTGCCCACAGCGCCGCCTACCTGTGTGTAGCAGCGCAGGAGCAGCCCCTTCTCCTTCAGCAGGCGGATGAAGTAGTGACAGACGGTCGGCTGGAGGGGAGTGACAACAATGCCCCTGTCACGGAGGATCTTGACGCGCCATCGCTGTGCACCAGGGGCTATCCTAGGTGCTGTGTCTATTTTTCTTCAGGGAATCATCACAAGGGCCTCATAAGGGAGACCAGTGTCCCTGCTCCACTTGTCCCTCAGATGAGGAGACTGAGGCCTGGGGAGGGTGGCTTGCCAAGATCACACACGATCAGGAAGTCGCAGAGCTAACATTTGCAACCAGGCTGCCTGGCTCTGACGTAAGAACTCATTTATACCTTACAACGACCCTTTTCAGATACCATCGTTCGCTCCATTTCACAGATGGGAAAACTGAGGCTTGTGGTCTCAAGATGAGACACAGGAGCTGAATCCTGGCAGCCCAAACCCAGAGTCTCTCTAATAACAGTCAGCGGGGCCCTGGAGGGGGTCTTCCTGTGCCTGCTCTCCCTGCCTGCCCTGCTGAATAGGATCTCACCTTGAACTGCCCAGGATACAGTTCCTTGGCAAGGGCAAAGAAGGGTTCCGGATGTTTCTGTGGGAGAAAGAGCCAGAGGGCCCGATGGCCCAGGTGATGCGAGGGTTGGAGCAGGTGCCCCCACCCCGTATTATAGAAGTGTACCTTGAAATAGCCAATCTCAAAGATGGCCTCTGGGTAGGGAAGATGGTACTTCTCCAGGTTGGCGTAAAGGCCAGTGGTTGGAGAACGGAAGTCAGGGATGCCCGCCGCTGGGGGAGAGGGAGGGACAGCTTACTGGGAATGCCGGCCCCATCACACCACACTGGCCTCCTCCCAGGCTAGACGCAGACAGCGCCCCTCCTAGCCTGTGGGGGCAGCTGTGGAGGGGGAACTTACATGTAGAGATTCCAGCTCCGACCAAGCAGATGACCCTGCAACCTGGGGGACAGGAAGGCAACATCGTCTGACAGTTTGCTCAGTCAACAACATCAGCCATCCCGTCTGTGACGCTGTTTCCTCCATATTGGGTGTGGGCAAGCATCTCAGATGCCTGGTTATCCCAGGGTCTTCGGGAGGATAGAGTTATCGGCCTCAGTTTCAGATGAGGATACCAAGGCCCACAGCAGAGAATACAGGGACTGGCAGAATGCACTGTTTGATTTTTTTGTATGTTTTGAGACAGGGTCTCCCTATACAGTTCAGCTGGCCTTGAACTCATGGGGATCCTCCTGCATCAGCCTCCAGGTGCTAGGATTACAGGCTTGTGTCACCGTGCAGGCTGAGAATGCACTGTTTGAAATGACAACAGTTTTAAGAAAACTCAAGAAGATGGGCATGGAGGCGCATACCTGTGATCCCAGCTCTTGGGAGGCTGAAGCAGGAGGATCATAGTGAGCTCAAGGTCAGCCTGGGCTACATAGCGAGACCCGTCTCAAAAAACCAAAATAAAATAAAAGAAAGAAAACTCAAAAAGAGACCACAGGACCAGAAATTTCTCCTCATAAGTAGACTAGACAAAAATACATTCTCCAAGAAAAGGTGCAGGTTAGTACAAAAATCTCTCAGGCTGGGGAGTGTGGCTCAGTGACAGAGTACCTGGGTTGCACCCCTAGGACCACCAAAAACAGAAAAGCAACAATCCATCTTCTGGACCTGCTCTCGGTGATCTTCTGTTTCTAGCACGCTGATTTTCTTGTCCTGTTTCTTTCCTCCGTAAGCAAATGAACATCAGCCGCCAGAAGCCTCATCATTTCCAGGCAAAGGCCAAAGATCTGCCACCCTAAGCCTGCGCCCAGGCAAGGAGAGTGAAGACTGGATCCAAGTCTGGTTCTCCTCCTCCCATTTACCTGTGAGGTCATCACAGTATGATCTGGGCAGAGAAGGAAACTGAGGGACAGAAAGGTTGTGACTTGGGGCAGGTTGAACGGCTAACAAGTGGCAGAATTGGGATTTGTCCCCGGGTGCCCTGAAAAACAGAACACATGCGCCCCCTCGTGGTGATGGGAGCTTACGCTGTTTCTCTCATAGAAGGGGCTTTGGCTTCCTCCTCTCTAAAATGGGCACAATTATAGTACCGGCCTGGCAGGCTCCTGAGAGAATGAATGAATTCATGTATAGCTTAGATCAGTGCCTGGCACTGAGCAAACAGTGCATACAAGTATATGTGTGACTCACACGCTTTGAGTCAATTGTACTAAACTTCCCAAAACCCACTGCTTGTTTATATAGTAAGCGTTCTGTTCTGCAGTTTGTTCCCATTGTCAGAAGAGAAGACAGGGAAGATGTGGTCAAATAGGTTCACGAGCACACAGCCCAGCACAAATGGACCCGCGCTGCCTCGGCTAATGGCTGGCGGGCCCCTTGCCACACAGAGCCCTGGCATCTGCCCGTCAGCAGATGGCAGACACAGGTGCGACTCCCCACGAATTGGGAGCCCCTGGGTATCCTGTCCATGGAAGGACGGCGAGGCCCACCACAACCTAGGCCTCAGCTTCGTCTCCGGCTGGTCCAGTGGGGGCGGAGACCAGGGGCACATGTGTTCTGTTTTCAGGGCACCCGGGGACAAATCCCAATTCTGCCACTTGTTAGCCGTTCAACCTGCCCCGAGTCACAACCTTTCTGTCCCTCAGTTTCCTTCTCTGCCCAGATCATGCTGTGATGACCTCACAGGTGAATGGGAAGATCAAATAAGGGGACATCCATAAAGTGCCTACCCAGAGCCTGGAAAACAGTGAGGGCTCAATTTTTTTTTTCCCTCTTGCATTACTGGGGATTGAACGCACAGCCTTCATACCTAGCTACATCTCTATTCTTTTAATGTTTTTATATTCAGACAGGGTCTTGCTAAGTTGCCCAGGATGAGTTTGAACTTGCAATCCTCCTGCCTCAGCCTTCTAGAGTGCTGGGATTACAGATATGTACCACCATGCCTGGCTTCAGTAAATTTATTTATTATTTATTAATATTCCCTCGTGGACACACTCATGGGCTGACTACTCCAAGACCCAGGCACAGGAGGACAGAAGGAACAAATACTTTGTAGCTACTCCCTGGATTCTTTTCTGGGCTATCCAGGCCAGGGGATGGCTATGGGCCGCTGCCCAGCGGGCCCCAGAGGGCAGCAGGCCTGGCCACCCGAGGAGGGAGACGGCAGCAGCTGGAGGACAGGGAAACCGGAGAAGACGTCCTCAACAAAGGGCTGATCAGGACCCTCAAAAGGCCCATTGTGCCTGCTGAGGACTGCTGAGGCCTGGTTTCTCAGACTTTGTGACTCAACTCACAGCAAGAAATATGCACTTCACGGTGACCCAGCCAGCAGGCACCACACACCACATCTGAAGCAGCCTCCTGTAGCAACAGCCACGGACACACCTGCACAGCTCTTGCTCTAAACATTTACATTCCTCTTGGTGTGTTTAGCCCCCCGGGTAATCCCATGAGGCACTATTACAGTCCTCATTCTAGGAAAAAGGCCTAGCCTATCAGAGCACAGTAATGTATTCAGCAACAGAGATGTGACCCAGGCCTGGCCAATCAGACAGGCAAACTGGTTCAGCCTGGGCCAGTGGGAGCCAATCTCTACTGTTCTGCCTGGACATCAGCAAAAAGGTGTATTCTTTGAGGAGTAGTTGCTAGGCTGGTAGAACTTCCATTTGGAGCTGCCAGGAGGTCACTGTATCCCAATACGAAGTTGTGACTTTGGAGAACGTGGAAGCCCCCGGATCTAGCCATGCCCACAGCTCTATTTTAGGATCCACACATTCGTTTTTTTGGCAAAAATTTGGGTTTCTTGCTTCTTGTAAACAACAGGTGTGAAGTCACCGGGGCCAGGAGTGGGAGCAGTGCGGGGTGGGGGTGACTTACAGCGCTCGCTCTGCATGTAGCGGACCACCCCTTCCAGAGTTAGCTCATCCAGCAGACGCTCCTTCTGGGAGCCCAGGCCCAGGGTCTGGGAGAAGAGATTCCTCAGGAAGTCCACTGATGAAAAAAAGAGAGACAACAGCCGGTGGGCATTCAGCAAGGACGCATGATGTACCTTAGGCCTCCATCCCAGCCCTGGGCACCCCTCTCCCTACCACTGAAGGCAAGATGCCTGGCCCAGTACTGGCACCAAGTCTTTCACTACAACCTGTTTTGTTTTGTTTTTTGAGTCGGTCCAGCTCTGCAATCCAGAGTGGCCGGGAACTTGCTGTGCAGCCCAGCCTGGCCTCAGACTTGTGATCCTCCGGCCTCAGCCACCCAAGTGTGGAGACTACAGGCATGGGCTGCCACATCCAACAAATTTACACACTTCGAATGCCATTCCTCGTAGAGGTTTGGGTCTAGGTAACCCTAGGTCCTTGTCCTAAAATCGCACCCCCCAGAGCCCTGCCCTCCAAGGAAGATACTCACTCTCTGCCTCTCCGCCAGATGCGCCTTCCTCAGCGTCCAAGTCTGTGTCCTGGAAGGGGTGGGGTGGGGTGGCCATGCCGGAGAGGTGGGGTTAGGGAAGAAAGGGAGCTGGGGCACCAGATTTGGGAGGGAAGGCTCTGGCTAGGGTGTGGCCCGGGGAAGTGAGGGGCAGTGTGGGCCTGTGCTGGGGCCAGTGTGCGGGCTTGGGACAGGTTGCCTGGAGGAGACCTGGACCTGCTGCTCGTGAGGAGCGCAACCTCGACAGCACCTTCACTGTGCAGGCTGTCAGGCTCCTCATCTTGAGAATGGAGTGCAGAGGGCTGCGGTGAGGATGGGCCGAGTTAACACACGGAGGCGCCAGGCACTGCACCGGCGCTCAGGGAGCCCTGGCTTTGCTCTTGTCATATGCTGGCATGCCTGACCCCTGGAGTGTGGGCCCACTGTCTCTCCCAGCAGCCTTACAGGCCTGCTGCATGAGGGTAGCCTGTGTATTACACCTGCCAGCAGTCTGGTGCTCACCTCATGGGCCCTCCTAACTGCAGCGCTCTGGGACTCTGTCCCGCGCCCTTCCTGCTTTCCCTCACCACTTTCCCTGGCTACCTGCCACACCTGTGCCCGTGGCCTCATGTAGTCACTGACGATACCACCTTGCTGTCCCCAGGCCTGGGGATCCCAAGCTTCATGGACACCTTGCCCACGTTACCCTCAGGCCTCTCACTCCCGCCTCGTCCCAGACTGGCCTCAGCATCTCTCCCTAACCTGCTCCTCCACCCAGCCCCCTCTTGGTGTGGCCTCGCTGTCCGCCAGCCTGCCTACAGCCTCAGGCACAGCCTCAGCTCACCAGGGCGTCCTGTCTACTTGGCCTCTGCATGATGGCCGGTCCACATGCCTCCACTTCAAAGTCCTACTTTGGCTTCTCCAGTCTCATCTTTTGATCACAAATGTCTCCACAGCCTACCATGCTGTCAGCAATACAAGGGCGGGGACACCCAGCTCTGAGAGCAGGGCTTCCAGAGCATCCACCACCAAACACTTCTGAGGTGGGTTGGCCCTCAATGGTGCTGCAAAACACGCAGCCTACAGCTCAGTCTCCTGCACGCAGGCCCACTGTCAGCGCCTTCCCCAGGCACTCACTACTCTGGTTGTGAGACTTTCTGAATAAGAACTTCCCTTGCAAACATATTACATTTTTAAAAAATCAGCTTTAAAGATTACATGAGCTTTGCAAATGGTCTGGCCATAGACAAGTAACATGGGCATTTGCCTTGTGATTGCCCCAACCCACCCCCGCTGAGATGACCATTATTAACAGTGTAATAGTAGCTACTCCAGATTTGTTCTCTGTGTATAAAAACTCAATATTTTTTATAGAAGTAAGTCAACCCACTGCATTTTCCACTGAACAATATAGCATAGACCCACCTTATTTGTTTAAGCAAGTATTACATTATTACGCAGTATTGCATTGCACGGATGAACCATAGTTCATTTAGCCCATCTCTCAACAGCCGTTTGGGCCGTTTCCAGTTCTGCCTATGACAGACAATGCTGGAGTTTACAGCCTTGCAAGTCTTTGGTACTGAAGATCCATTCTGACCATGAGATCTTTTCTCAGGCCATGGTTGTGCTCTGGGACCCAGGCCAGTGAGACACTGAGGACTGACAAGAGGCTGTCACACACTCGACATGGCTCTGCTATCCCTTTGTAGGGTAATCACAGCTGTTTTGTGTTTTGGGATTTTTCCCCCCAATACTGGGGATTGAACTGAGGTCCTTTACACTAAACTACATCCTCAGCTCTTATATTTTTAAATTTTCAGACAGGGTCTCTGCAGTTACTAAATTTCCCAGGCTGAGCTCAAACTTTCAGTTCTCCCGCCTCAGCCTCTAGAGGGCTAGGGGTACAGGCATGCACACCACAACTAGCCTAATCACAGCTTCTGACCTACATGTGAAGTGTCGTGGGTACAGGTTGGCTGGCATTCTGTCAGGGCAGAGACAGTGAGGCACTGTGGGGGAGTTGGGGTGTTGGCACGTGCCTTCAAGAGTGTTCTCCCTGCAGCATCCAGGGGGCAATGTACCCAGTGCCAGGGGTCTCAGACCCTTCCCTGTTCCTCTACCAAAGGACAAGTTACCTAACAGCTCTGCCTCCAGCTCCTTGTCTGTAAAATAGCTGTGGTGAGCCTTACTCCTCACAGGCATGCTGGGAAAATTAAAGGAGACAGTGCCCAAGAAGCACCAAACAGAGTTCCTGGCTGGAGCAAGTAGGCAAAAAACACTACCCACCAGTCTAATTAGACACCCAACCACCAAAGCAGCACATCACTCTTTCCTGCCCCAGGTCTCCTCACAAGCTATTCCCTGTGCATGGAACACCATCTCCCACCTCTGTCTAAGAAAACTCCAAGTCACTCTTCACTTACTATGCTGTGACTATAGCTTGGGCTGGTTCCTAGACCAGCCTGTGGGTTCCTCTAGGAAGGGCCCAGCGGGAACCTTCTGTGACCCACAAAGTTTGTTCTGGCTCCTCCAGGGCCCTCCGTTACTTTCACAATCACCCTGTAGGGTCATTTTCTTGACACTTGTCCATGAGATCTGTGAGTTCAGGAGCCAAATTTGATACCTGACTTCCAGGCCCAGGAGAAATAAAGGTGAGAAGGAAATGGGGCTGGGGCATTTTGTCTGATAGTCCCCAGGAAGCTGTGTCAGGTGGGTCTAGGGACTGGGGCAATGGGCTCAGGGTCTGGGTAACAATCTCCTTCTGCCACCTCCCGCCAGTATGGGATGGGGGAGCAAGTCCATCTCTCTCCTTCCCTCCACCCCTTCCCCATCTCACCTGAGCCTCCTGCACCTTCCCTGCCTGGGTCTCCAGAGGGTCAGAGGCTGGGGAGGAGGGGGAGCAGACGTGGTTACAGTGCAGGGAATGGTTAAGAGGGGAACAAAGGGGTTCAAAGTGGCAGGTGGGTCAAGAAGACCTTCCAACCTAGTTACACTGGGGTCGGCGGTGGTAAAAATAAAACTGGGAGGGAGGGATGGAGCAAAGCGGGTCTTGGAGTGGAGCGCGCTAGCTGTAGAGGTAATGAAGGGGCAGAGAAGCTGAGATTGAGAAGGTTAGCAGGAGAAGGAGATATCCGGGAGACGCGGCGGAAGGAAGACTTTGGAGGAGAGGTAGGAGGGTAGTGAGTTGAGTGTCAGAGGGTTAGGTTTACAAAGCAGAGGAGTTTGTCAAGAAGAGAGTAGATAAAGATACCTCAGCTGGGAGGCAGGCTTGGGAGAGAAGTGCAGTGAAGGTGGTAGGTTTAGGAGAGGCACAGGAACTACAAGAAGAGGTAGGAGGGGACACCAGGGGTTTCTTATCATCCTACAGTTGCCCCTAACACCAGGTACCCTTAGCAACCAGGACCGCGGCAACTCAGATCCTTAGTAAAGAGGGTCTTTAGCAAAAGTGCGAGAAACACACTATCATTAGCAACTTGGCAAACGGACACGCTAAACGAACCCTTAAAACTCGCAACCCAGAAACCCACCAACCTAGCAATATGAACCATTTATCAACGGGCCCTCCAATTCCACTCCCTTCATGCAGCCTCTATCTCCCGCCCACCGCGCCTGCCCTCGGGCCCCGGGGCCTGTAGCCCTCAGCCAGGCCCCGGC